TCGTGGTAGGGACAGAGTCTAACTCGTTCCGTAACATTGTCTTTCTCCCCGATGTCAGTTTTCTTTGACAACAGTTTGAAGTTTGGGTTGATATTCAAGGGATGAAATTTCTTTGTGGAATTTGGCGCTGACTGTGAGTCATAAAGAAAGCTTGGATCTTTCGTATTCTAGCCTGTCTGCTTATGAATTCTGAGAACACAGAAAAGGGAGGATAAGCAACATGATACCGTTCCTTATAGTTGACTGCTTCATTTGTCCATTTCTCTTGAAGAGCGTAGGGAAGCCTGTTCACAATTGGAGTCACGCCCGCTGAAGAGTCATAGTACGCCAGAAGGGCTGAGTACCTCTGATTGTCCTTCACAGACTCAATTTCGGACACAATGTCTGCAAGGTCATAGAGTTTATCATGATCTTTGTTGGAAAGTTTAGGAAAATTAGACAATTTTTTCTTGAGTGCAGACTCCACAAGCTCGGGACTGGCATATCTGTCCCCCAGTCGTTCCCAGATCTTCTGAAGGCCGCGAAGCGAATTATGAGCATTAGCAGCACGGATACTAGCAGCTTATCTGCTGGACTCCGGGCCAAGCCACCTGACCAACAAGTCGATTTCCTCCTGCGGAGACACATTTAGTTCGTACATAATTTGTGTAAAGCTATTCTGCCACACAGCAAAATACTCTGGCTTATCGTTGAATGTACTCAGCCGAGAGAGGAGGAGGTCTTTCCTCATCAAATATTTGGAGAGTTCTGAACACAAACCCAGTTGGTTTGTCACATGTCCCGATGCAGGGGGAGCTGTCATGTCTGGGACATAAGGTTCAGCTGCAGGGTTGAGCACACTATTTGGTGGAACAGTACCACGTTGAATTGTCGAGGCCTCTGGTGCATCAACTTGCCTTGGTTGAGTATGGGAGTCGTCACCATGGTTATGGAAGGACTTGAGGTCATGAACTGTGTTGCGAAAACTCTGCCCGGCTTTGTGAGGTGTACTCGTATTTACGGGTACGTCTTGGTTCTTGGACACAGTTTCAACCTGGTCAAGTATCCTAGTTTCAAACTCATAAAAGGTTTGTTGGTTTTCCACAAATTTCTGAATTTCTTTGAGCTTCGCCTTGATTTCTTGTCAACCTCCAAGACTCCCTGCATAGCTTGTAATTCTGCCTCGGCTTCATGTACTTCACGCTGTGAAGTAAGAAGTTTCAGATTCACTTCCAGTTCAGCTCGCTGTTTCTCCATCTTTGCTTCCTGTTCAGCGAATTTCAGTCGAATCTTGGCCGCTTCAGCCTTTGCTTTTTGTCTCATGAGAATAGAACTTCCACTTGAATGAAGGCTTTTGCTTCGCACAGAAGCTGATTCTATCCTGTCAGTGTTTGTCAAACTAGTAATTCTAGCATTAATGTCCTTCAGTGCCATCTGCACCTTATTCAAGAGTGAATCGGCAATGTTTTGATGTGCAGCCTGTACTTGTGAACTTTCTTCAGTGCCAGTTCGTTGTAAATATGCAAAGAATTCCAAATATGTTTCCTCATACTTCCCGTATTGACAGTTAATATTTGCACGCACACTGGTTAATTGTCCCAAATCATCATGTGTCGAGTGTGAACAGGCACTCTCTGTTTGCCTTGCTAGTTTGGAAAGTTTGTTGACATAATTTTGCACGTTTTCTTGATATAGTTCGTAACCTAACTCCGTTAAACGTCTAGATCCTTTACGTGATTCCATAGTGTAATACTCACGCACAATTCTTGGAAGAATAATGTATCAATGGATCCTACATCTCGTGGTCATCGGAGCGCTGTGCCTCATATACGAGAGTGGCGATGAAGGTTTTTTACTATAACGACCTCGAAAAGATGCTTGTATTGTTTCTTTAATCATCATAAACCCGTAGTACAAAAGGGGTAAAAAACCTGTACATGTCAGCACTTGAGTAATGGTGATAAGACCTTTGAGTAGGTGTAGAAACCACTGATTTGAAACACGTGCTTTTTCCGGAAGTTTGAAAAAAAAGGTAAGAAAAGATAACTCTTATTGACTTAGATAGAAAGTGAAGCGTCCGTAAAATATTGCCTCGTAGGGGGCAAGACACTCATACCAAGCAGATCTCTCTCCCACAGCCCAGAGGGTTGTACCGACTCTCTGTGGCACCCTCAGCTATATTTTAAGATATTGTTCATTGTTAATTGTTCTTGTAAATAAAATTGTGATTAGTCTCCTGTGACTCCGGCACTTTGCTGACTAATTCCCCCCAAGAAAACCAGCACGTCATTTGGAAGGGCTAGTTCAACCCAACAGAACCATAAAACATACCATAATAAATTCATCAGATAATGAATTTACAAAGTTGTCGATAGTTGTATAGAAATCAATATAGTCATCACTATCACCCATGCCTCCAAATAGAGTCTGAAAGGGACATATCCCCTCCTTGGGTGTGATTCAGTCTGATGTACACGGAAGTAGGGACCAGAAATGACCAGAACTGTTTACTATGTTCACAGAAGCTACTTCTAATTTATCAACAAACATTTTAACTTCACCATCCATTTTCTCCATACATAAGTCTTTATAATATTTTCAAGCTGATGTGTATTTCTGTTTGACAAATTTACTGTTACTGGAATGAAATTCATGAAGCCATCAACAAGTGGTTGCACGTGCTTCCCAACATTCCTGGTCATACCAGTTGCCTCCCCTTGATCTATTGTTCGCAGGAGTTGTGAGAATCCTACCGCAAGTACCTGTGCAAGTTGTCATCATGTTTGTAAACAATGAAACTGCATTATGAATGTTTTGCTGAGTCAGCTGGAAATAGAAATTCTGTAGAATTAAAGCAGGTAGATTAGTCCATTGAGTAGTGTAATCATCTTTAAAGTCAGCTTTCCATATGAATCATTGTTTTGATGATAAATGTTCATATGCAACGTTAAACCAAATTTCACCTCACCTCATCCTGAGCCGTGGCCTAGGTTGCATCATTGCTCATCATTTAAAAAGGATGGAACTTACTCTTCTAATATAGATTTGGCTTTGCATGGTTGAATTAAGTGATTGGTGTTTGTTTAAGTATTTTTAAACAAAGATTACATGACTGTCTCTACCAAAATTGGCATCTATCACTGGAAACTTCACCTAAATGTCAATACTGAACTTGCAGTTACAACTCCTTACTCAATGTTAAGAGATATTTTTTATCTGAACTCAGAACTCAGAATTATCTCATGATTCAGATGTGACAACTTTAGACTAGCAATTAAATGTGGAAGACACTCAAACATTCAACACGAGGAACAACTATGGCTGTACTGCCATGCTGAGAATGTAAACCTTAAAGAGGATGAATGTCATGTGTAATGGTGTGTGATCAATACAATAAGGAAGGGCAAGAATGTTTAGCTGAACCCACCGACAGCTGTGAAGTTTATATCTTTGAAATTCTTGATTACACAATGTATTGGCCTATTTCTATAAAAAAAAATCAAAATTCTGTCGCTCTAACGTTTAATGTACAAATTATTTTGATGTGTACATGCATGAAATTTATCCTGATGTGTTATGGGCCTGGAGGCCTTAAATACCAAATAAACTCTGTGTTTTGGTACCTAGTCATGCTCGATCATACATCCATGGTTAGTTCACCTGAGTGAAAGTCATGACCTTATGCCATGGCCTGTTTCTTTGACATAAGTGTTGCATCTTGTGTTGTCTGTCATAAAGGTCTGCTCATCAGAGACTACTGGACAAATGAAGGTTAAACTTCACCTGCTTGTTCCCACGAATAATGACACCCCAATTTGTTCAAGATGTTCAAATCGGATTTTCATTTTGGCCTTTAGTCAACCACTTTCTTTCATGATGTAAAATTTGGTAAATGTTTAATATTTTGTTAAATTTGTTTGATTTTAGTGTTAGTTTTTTTAGTATTTATTCCGACAATATTTGAATATCAATGATGACAGCAAATTGTTTTTTAACTTTTTACATTTTAAAATTTGACTACCCTTACATACCCAGGTGAGCTACAGTGTCATGGCACTATTTTTGAACATCAGACTGTATTATGTTTTGTACTGTAGGAAAATTAGGACTAGGCAGAATGGAAGTCACCCAAAGTGAAGCTTAGAAATCATCTTAGTGCCAGTTCATCTGAAAGTGACAAATCTGTGCTTTTGCATGATACTTTCCCTTTAATTTCATACCTGAATCAGCCTTATATGTAAACACCATTCACTAACGTAGGATATCACCATAGTAGAAGTTTGGAAATTATGTCATGTCTAGTTTTAGCTATGTTAAGAGTGAGTGGTATTATCAGTATATTGGTAAATTGAGATTCCTTCTTTCCACAATACCTGTCACAATATCATTTTTTTATGCTTGGTATATCGGGTGATTTCAAATAGAAGTTTTGATCATGTGTTTCAGGTGATACACTATAACACTTGCCAAAAACATGTACCTTCAAAATGTTCTGTAGTTGCAAAATATAGGGGGCACGGGTGGCCCAGTCGTCTAAGGCGCCGCGATTCACTGTGCAGAGTTGCGTCCCTTGGGCACGCCAGAAACCTATAATTGTGGGTTCGAATCCCGGTTCGCCCTGATTATGTTTCTAGGTTTGTCAGCACCATACCCGTGCTCGTGGGTTTCACCGAAGTGGTAAACGTCTGAGACCTGCATCACTTCGGGCTTTCCTCCCACATTAAGCTGACACGCCGCGATATAACTGCAATACTGTTAAAATTGGCGTTAAACCCAACTCACTCACGCCAAAATATAAGTTTTCATTTTGGAGTTCACAAAGTCATCACTGTCCCAGAGCGTGCATATTTATTGAATGAGTAAACATTATGCTGTACCAGTTCTGTTCAATTTGCTTCTGAATTAAAAATTTAGAATTATACAATATATTGTGATTTGTATCACAATACGGCCTTGTGCATCATAAATATTGTGATACACTCTAAACATCCAATAACCCATCCCTATTCTATATGTTTCAGATATGAGAAACAAGTTTGTTGTCGGGTGTATGTTCCTTTCTTGCTCTGTGGTGGCACCCATCTTGTGGCATCTGTGGATTTATGCTGGTAGCGCCAATGCTAACTTCTACTTTGCCATTACTCTGACATTCTCCACAGCTGAGGTGAGTACACTGGTCTTCCTGGGAGCTGTTTGCCTTGTAGACCATGCATTTAAACTCATGTGTTGTACAGTCCTGGGATAAAAAAAACCACATGTTGTGGGAACAGACTTATAGTTAAAATGGGAAAGTCAGGAAGAAATGATGTTTCTAACTCTGTGTGTTGACTGTTCTCTCTTGAGAACAAGCATGCATGTGGGTGATAATTGAAAGTCAGTCAGACCAATGCTCACCACTTGCGGCCTTGCTATTGCATTTCTTAGCTTGGCTACTGCTAATTACTGATTGACAGCCAATGTTGATGTGGATGGGTTGTCTTCAGCAACTGGGTGGGTGTAGGGTCTTGTCTCTGTTTGAGACACATGTGTCCATTAATGAGTTAAGGGGCTATTGGCATCCTGAGTGCAGCTAAATGATGATGCAGGTTGATAAGGATTCACATGTGTGGAAGGATACTATTTTTGGTACGGGATGTTTCATAGATGGATGTGACAAGTATTAATGTACCAGATGATAAATTCTCCAGATAAACTTTATGTTACACTGAGTTACAGTCCGTTTGACTCCAAATGAGAACGATGAATTGCAAAATAACTCGAAATCCAGAAAAGTGTATGAAACATAAATACAGTACTTGACCATGAATACCCTGTACCCAACAAAATCCGAATTTTGTTTATTTTAAGACCCATGACGGATGAAGTTCTTTAAGAAACTATCATGTAATTTTGTATAGAAATGTGTACATGACACGTAGGGGGGACAAACCGTGGAAGGAACAGCACAAGCACGTGCTACACAGTGACCGTGTTCATTCAATGACAAGATGCGCTACTCAGCAGATGGTAAACAGTTGATGTTGAATGTGTATGATTTCTTTAGAAGTGAAGCAGAAAGAGCAAAGCCTTTTTTATGCAAATAATAAATTCTTGAAATGAGCTTCAAAAGCTCTTGGTATGTCCCCTCAGAAACTATAAGACTACATCTTCTCATGATACGAAATGAAAACTATAAACAGTGTAAACTCATTATTAAAATGTTTTAACTCATCCTGCATTACTCTGTAATGCATTTACTGCTGTTTTCGAACTGTGTGAGATCCAGCTGCTAAAGAAAAGTTATTCCAACCAGAAGAAACAGCACCCTCGCACGTGAGTTGTCATGTGACTCAGAAGTCATGACGTCTCATCAAACCACATGACTGCTTTGTCACCTCCACGGACGGATGTACTTTGTATCCCTTGTGGGAATTAAAGCTTATTGTTTCTATACTTTGCCTGTTTCTGCATTCATCGTATGCTACTATATTGGTACTTGTTTATAGTCTGTTACCTTTGGGGTCTTCCCATTCGTAATTTGCAATGTTTGCCGCTCGCTTGTGGCTCTAGTCAGTAATTTAAGGGGGTATTGTTTTCCCGCCATTTTTGTGATTCTCCATGTGGCCACGTACTTTCGCGTTTTGCGTTTTGAATTCATTTGGCTTGGGTTATACACTAAATTTATATATTTTGTGTTGGCATGTTTTAAGCTTTTTCACGACCTTTTTGCCTAATTGTTTGCTCTCATAAACTTCTATAAAATGAAAAGTTTTTGAGTTATGCTTCCTGTTGTGAGTTTGTCTTTGCTTAAATTCCAGACTTTATGCCTCGCTGCACTTGCTGCCGTGGGAACAAATCTGGTCAGGGGCCCCGCCGAGATTGTACGACGCCACCGGCACCCTAGGTTTCCACGTCTCCCTTTCAGCACCTGTGCCTGGGTATCTCAGCTTTTCCTTGGAGCCTTCGGACCCTCCTGCACCTGCTATCCTTTCCTCTACTTCGGCATCAGCGGTGCTGAAGGTGCCATAGGCAATTGCCTTACTGGCGCCACCGGCTACTCCGATCATGGCCTCTCATCTGGAGCGGCAAGACGGAGCGGCAAGGAAAAACCATGTCTTTAAGATCTCGTCGCTGCTCCTGGAGCCTCTCGTCGGGATTGTGACTATAGTTCAGATTCCTGGGGGGATCTTTTCAAACCAGCAGACATTTGGTGTGATTCAATTTGCCGACTGGTTGGATGATCTTTTGGCTTCTATTGCTGCGTCTCCGGCCTTGACGTTAGTAAGACTCCTTCTTTGACCCGTACTGGCGCCCTCCCTTCCAGACCCTATATATTATTATATTCTCTCGTTGAACTGGGTTCACATGGCTTCTGGTGGACATCATCTGTGTCAGAACTTGCAGATCTTCGCTTTGCACACTCATTTAGCTTGTTTGACACCTTTGTCATAGGCTACTGGGTACCCACTTCTCGGGATAATCGTTGGTTGGGACAAGTCATCTCTTATATGAAGGTGTTCATTTTTCCGTTACACCCACACAGCAGATTGCCACACCCAAACCCCGCCTGTTTTTTTATGCACACCTGATGCCCTATGCCCTAGGAGCCAAGGGCTACTTGGCTTGAACAGCCAAGGCTATTGCTTTAGCCTATTGTCCGTCTACACGGGGACTCTATGTCGACAAAGGGTGCTCCTTCCAGGCCCACTGCTCAGGCAAACGCCAAGATCCTTTGACAACGACACCTCAGTTTGTGAGTTTCTCTTATATTTTCAGCACACGTCAGTTGAAAGGCTCTACCATCTCTCAAACCTAGTCACCAGTGCTTGCCGTCTTAGTCGATTGGAGAAAAGGCCTTGCTGCACTCGTATAGTTTAGAAGATCAGTAAGCCAAGTTCAGACTGCCTGCATGGGATCTGTACGTGCTTTTACTGGCTCTTCAGACAGCTGCCTTCAAACCACTCATCTTCCTTCAATGACCTTATGAAGATGACGGTGTTCTACTGGCTTTGAATACCGTTGCATAGGTCAGTGAGACTCACACCCCATGGTGGCCGGTTCAAATGCGGTACTCATAGATTGTGTGTCTTGGGATGTGCTGGGACTTCATTGCCAAGAATCCCACGACCACATGATAGATCCTTCACCACCCTCCTTCCCCCCTCTCATCTTGGAAGAGGCGGAGCAGAACTTTGGTTATGCCCGGTGCGGACATTGAGAGTTTTCCTACGACGGTCAGAAGCCTGCCGCAAGTCAAGGAAATGCTTTTTCCTGCCAGTCTCTCCCTTGTCACAGTCAGAGGTCAGCTGGAATACTATTTCCCTGTGTCTCTGTGCGGTCATCCTGCAAGCTTTCAATGCCTCCAGATTAAACATGTCACATGTAAAATTTGGAATATTACACCTGTATGTATTTATAAAATGACCAATTCATTTTTACAAACTGTGTATATTTTTAAAACTTATCCTGTCTTACTCTATGCATTTCATCTTTCTTCTTCCGATCTTTGTGTGGAAACGTCCCAAAACAAAGTTTCCAGCTTCTAAGCTTCATTCACCCAAACATACCCAGCATCACCAAGGCGACCAGCTTGCCAATCAGGTCACACACTCAAATCTTGTGCAGCTTGCCGTACCAGTGCTGATCACCTGACCCATTCTGCCTCATCATTCTCTTTCATCACAGTGGACTAGTACAACAATGTTTTTGAGAGAATATTTTGGCCTTTTTTTCTCAAAATTATACGGGAGGTACACTGAAAGGGGCATGGATCAACCCAAACATCCGGCCTGTCAGAAGTGCCGCCACATTTTCTCAGCAGTGGATCCACATGCCTTATGTTGTGATTGCTGGGTGTGAGTATCATGGTCATAACCACCATTACGAATGTCGCATCGACCTCAAATACAACATCGACATCAACCTCCGTACAAGAGAGGAGTCAAGAGCCATCGTGTTCAACAATGCAAGATCTACGTGGTTCTAACAGCAGACATTCTTCAGATCGAACTTCAGAGATGCATTCAAATGGTCGACATTCTCGCAAATTGTCGACACAGAACTCTTAAGATTAACCCTGCAAGGGTCAACATTCTAAAGGTCGACATACAGGGTCGCATTCGGAGGATTGACAATCTCAGGAGAGGTTGACATCACATAGTCTCTCTCAAGATCGAGTTTCTCCTAGTTGACATTCCAAAGAACATGCTTCTTCTATGCATGCCTAGGCATGGGAGTACAACGCTTTGGCCATATCATGGAAGAATGTCAACGCTTACGTCTTTCCACCAACAGCGTTTCTATCTCAGGTGTATCAGAAGTTGGTCGCCACGAATCAGCTTTGCCTGATTTTGATCGTGCCTTACTGGCCAGCTCGCAGCTGGTTCACCGTGTTGGTAGACCTCATAAACCATTGGGAAACCATCATCCACTTCCCTTGAAGATCTTGAGATCTTCTCCTTCAACCTCAATCCAGCCTACTACATCCATCGTTGGAAACCCTACATCTATGCGTCTGGCTCATCTCCAGAAGTTCGTAGTCGCCTACGGTGAGTACCGAAGACCATTACTCAAGCTCAATGTACTTCAACTAAATCCTTGTACGACCAAAAATGGAAAGCCTTCGAGGGATACTGTCGAGGCAGATCTATCACCTCTCCTAACTGCTACCCCACAGCAAGTTGAAGAATATCTTCAGCATCTTCGCTCTACCAAAAACCTTTAGGGTTCTACTTAATCTACATATCTAGCAGCTTTAATTTTGGTAATCACTTCCACAATGAGCATCAAGATCGCTTTAGTCCCAGAACTACAAGCTCTTCTCCGACCAGTCCAGATTTTGTCCACCCAAATGGTATCTGAATGTAATCCTCTGACACTTGATGTCAGCAGAATACGAACAACAAGGAGGTAGAGACTTCGAGCAGATTACTCTCAAAACGGTCTTTCTCCTAGCTTTGGCTACTCCAAGGGTCAGCGAGATACATGCCTTGTATGTAAACAGGATTCCATTTGAGAAGCACAGCCATGGGAAAATCTATTTGGGTCTACGATGGGATTTCATCGCCAAACACCAATTCTCAGGGCAACCAGACAGACTATTCACCATTCCGTTTCTGGCTTCTATTCTACATCCTGAGGATCGTGAGGACATCTCACTGAGTCCAGTTTGAACCTTACTCATGT